GGGTGGGCGACATAAAGTTTAAGTTTAGGACTTTTCTGGACTGCATCCAATATTTGCCTTTTTACACAATTTGCAGCTACGCTAAGAATGTAACCCCCGCCAAAATCTGGGCTTCACTGCATTCAAACGGACTAAAACAATGAAAATTGTACATGTAAACTATACTGAGTATTTGGTGTTTTTATCATGTCATGTGTTCAACAGTAAAATGAACAGCATCCACTGGAGTCATTTATTACTTATTTCAGTTTTTGTTTAATCTTCTGCTGAGTCACAAAAACACTCTTGATTCTTGAAGCTTCTATCATCATACAACAGCAACGATCAAAGATAGTGAGCCTTTGATTGTTGCTCTGTTATCGAGCTGCCAAGCTCATAAATACTGACTTTGAAGCATTTCTTTGAACTTATGCATGCATTAAATCTCATTTATAACAACAAACCGTTTAGATGTGCACATTAGTTGGTGCACATCTAAATGCACATTTRTTCTCTATAAAGAGTTCATGTTTATGTGTGTAGTCTGGATATTTCTCCCCATCTTCCTTATAACTCAGCTGCTTTGGGGATTTTATGGCTAGTCAGACACACTGACAAAATTATTCTTTTGGTTTTAGCCTCGTCCAGCCACTGTTCTTTCTTTATTTCTGTTTTTGACTGTCACCTTTGTGCTGCTCCGACCTCACTTCGCTGTAACCTTTCTCTAACAGTGCTGACTGCTGGCGTGGCCTTCAAAGGTCAGAGAGTGATGCTCCTGGCAGCTTTGCTGTGATCTCGGTGTCCGCGGTTTCTAACGGACAGACAGAAAGCGGTGGAGTCGCAATAAGATGACAACACCTTCGCCCACTCACAGTGACAGCAGCAACTCCTCCAAACATGACATCAACCAGGTGTGTGTGTGTGGCCGGCAGGCTCAGTCTGCACATGCTGTTGACTATTTGACTGCCTTTAAGGCTGATATCAGATGATCTATGATTTGCCTAATGGAAATATTCTTTGATATCCCTAAGACTGTAGTCATTGTGTTTTACCTTTGAAATTGGTCACTGTAAAAATATTAACAAGCTAAACAAACATTTAAGTTCTTCTAAAACTGTTTTAAAGCAACATATATTGTCACACAATATTTACTTGGTAGTTTATTTTTAGTTAATGTTTTATTGTTTATTGATTAAAAAGTGCAATTTAGGACTGGTTCACCTGCCAGATTTAGCCACGAAAGCTCACTTTTGTTTGTAGTCCCTGACAATTTGATGGTAAAAAAGTAGAAAAGGGAATAAGATCAAAACAATAATAAATAAATAAATAAATAAATAAATAAATAAATAAATAAATAAATAACCTAGAATAACAACATACGTGTGCTAAAAATAGCAGATTAGTTGGAATAAAAAAAACATTACAGCAAATGAAAATATATTACAAAGATATTTTAGGTACACAGGTTCAAATAGTTGTGCTTTTAAATATTGTTTGTTGAGTCTTAAAAGTGTACCAAGTAGTAAACTTATTCAAAGTGGGTGGTAAAATATTCTAATATATACGTTATTGGCATTTTAACACAGTTTTTCCAAGTTTAAGTCACTTCACAGTCACCTGTCGTGGTGGAGAACATGTTAACATCTTTTTCAGGAGGGGAGGCAGTCTATGCAAAATCTCACTTATGCAACAGCTATAATAACAATGAACAAAATATCATAAAATAAATAGTCTTCTCAAAATGTTACAACAATTATAAGAAAAATACGTATTTTTTAAGAAGTTTTTTTATTGTTTTAAGATTGTATTTGTTGGTGGACAACTAGGTGTAAAATAAAAAAATTAATTAAAGTATCACTGAATGCAAATATATCGTAGCAGCATTAAATATAAAAAAAGATCTTAATTGTTTAGGTTTGCACATTAACATTTGAGCTAATATCTGGTAAACCATTAATATAAAGTATAAAAAGAACTGGGCCAAGAATAGAGCCTTGTTGGACCCCTAGAGTCAGAATAAGATTTGATGCAACCGTTAGTGTCTAATAAACTATGATGTGTCGTTTTGAATAATGATATCAAATGCCTTCCATACACTACCACTACCAAGTAAATGTTTAACTTTTTCTAAAAACAAAACAAAACAAAAAAACAACAACAAAAAAAAAAAAACCCCAGTATGCTGCCTGAGTTGAGTGATGGCAGCAAACTGAAACCAAAACTACATGCGAAGCTGAGTGGTGTGGCCTTTATCTAGATGCCCGATCGATACCTTTGAAATCCAGCTTTCTGTAACCTTAGATGTAATCAGGAGTGTTTTGATTGGCCGATAATTAGTCACATTGAGGTTCTTTCCCCTTCAGATTTAAAAACAGTAGTGACTGGAGCAGACGGAAACAGCAGCTTGCCAAACAGACGAGCGTCCATGTGTATAAATCTGGTTTTTGAATGAAAGAAATTTTATTCACATTTTTTCATTCTCTGCTGCGCCCGTGTCTCCCCCCAGGATAGCTGGGAGATCGTGGAGGGCCTCAGGGGGTTTCCTGCCAGCATGCAGGAGCCTGACAGCCAGGAGGGCTTCCTGTTGAAGAGGAGGAAGTGGCCCATGAAGGGTTGGCATAAGGTGAGCGCCTCACCAGACAGCAGCATCACTATGATGCCTGTGGCAGTCTCACAGCTCTAAACCTTTGTTGTGGTTTGATACAAAACTTGTTTTTATTGTTTTATAATGAAAGTCATTCATCCAGTTGGGTAAAAAAAATGTAAATTCCGTTTGTATTGTTCTGACATAATCCAATTATTATGTTTGACTCTTTAAGACCAACCTAAATAACAACATATCTCTCCTGCTCTCTTTTAACACCTCAGGCTATTTCTACCCATCTTCACTGTGACATTTCTCCATTTTTCCATGTTTCCATAACTTTGCCCTCAGCTGACTACTTTATGAGCTTGACTCATCTTCCTCTCCCTCCTCTTCCTGTAACTCTGCTCATGCGTACCTGGAAACTTTAGCTTTACAACACGAAGGAACTGCGGCCTTAATAGTTCACTTGTCAGCTGATAAGGAGGCCCAGGGAGCCATATCTGATTCTAAACACTGAAAAGTCCTCGCACACAGTGGTTATGTCTGCGTGTGAACATTTTCTTCACCGCTGATCATTTATTCCGCTGAAAACTAATTACATTTTGGCCGTCTAAATAAATTAATTATAGTCATTAGTGATCTTTATGATGCAACGTTACCGCAAAAAACCCTCTTACCGGTTTTATTAAACACTGATTGATTTTGTTTTCTTCTCGTTTAGAGGTACTTCATCTTGGAGCGTGGCATCATGAAGTATGCAAAGCGTTCAACTGATGTAGGTGTAACCCCAACAGCGCCATCTGTCTGTCATTTTCTACACAACCACACAAACTGACACTCCAAACCAAATTTTTTTTTGTTTGTTTGTTTTGGCACAGCTGCAAAAAGGAAAGCTCCATGGCTGCATTGATGTCGGGCTTTCCGTGATGTCAATCAAGAAAAAAGCCATGTGTATTGACCTGGACACAGAAGACAACATTTATCACCTAAAGGTAAACGCTTAGATCTGAGTTCAATAGAGTTCTAGCGTTCATTAATTCACGGTCTTGTATTGGATCTTATGTCACCCAGGTGAAGGCCCCGGATCTGTTTGAAGTGTGGGTGTCAAAGATGCGTCACCACCGAATGTTTCGGCAAAACGAGATCGCCATGTATCCTCACGAGAAGCAACTCTTCCACCCCAACGCYGCGTCCTCAACTCCTCTTAATGACTCTTTTCGAAAAGTGAGTGTTCTGAACAGTAAAAAGTGTTGATAAACAGATATATTTTCTGAGATTCATTTCCCTTTCATCTGTTTTCTTTCCTTTTTTTTTTAATCACAGAGAGCCACGCTCACTAAGCAGGCATCAGTCCACCAGGCGAAGGTCAACTCCTGGCTCCATTCTTCTGAGGAGATGAACAAATGCTACAAAGGTTGTTTTGTTTCCTCCTCGTCCCTGCCTTGACACGAAAACTCTCACCCGTTCTGCACCTCTTTGTCGCAGCTTGTCTTTMGTGTGCCGTTTCAGCCCTTATCGCTGTGCCCTGCATGCACACACACACTCTTATCCAATAATAATCTCCTGTTTACTCAGAGCTGGCGGAATGCGAGTCGTATCTGCTGGAGCTCAACCTGCTGCTGAAGAGCATGGAAGTCGTGCACCGCACCTACTCGGCCCCGGCCATCACTGCTCTACAAGTAAGCGGAGATGCACGGATTAAGTTTGCTTTAATCCCCGACTGATGGATGACATTAAAACCTTCATCAGTCTGTTAAAGCGATGGTGTTCAGTTTATTCATTAATGTTCACATCATAAAAAGACACCTCATCAACTAAGAAGTAATGAGTCTGCATAGGCCTGTTGTGATAAATAATAAGTGATCAAATTTAATGAGGTTGATCATTTTCATTTGCCTGCTTGTTTGTTTTCTTTGTGACTTCCTCTTTTCTACTCCTTAGGGAGGAGTGTCAGGTATTTGCCAGGCGCATGTCTCATAACCTCTGAGGCATAAAATCCCCATGAACAGGCATTTAGCTAAAGGAGCGTCTTCGTTGTTTTTATGCCTTTTCTCAGCTGGTGATGCCCTCAGGGACCTTTTTTTTCTACGTAGATTTCGTAAACTTCTGTAAATTTCTTGAGCAGTGTGAGGGTGACAGCAATTAGTTTATGAAGCCAGAGGAAGACACATAAAGAATAAATTGTGCTGGCTTGGATGGAGGAGGTGGGAAGCAATTGTTGTGTGTTGATTTCCCAACTCTGGTCCAGGTCAGTTCAAAACTTTTGTTTTTTTGTACGTAAATTTCATAAACTTCTGTAAGCTTCGTAAATTGGATTTCTGGAGGGGGTTGGTGGTTGTGTATTATTATATTAGTTTAAAATGGTCTCCAAACAATATCATCGTTCATTGCAATAATTTCTAATTCTTAGTCCAGCAAAAGTTGTTATTGTGACAGGCATTTTTGGTCTGCGTTTTTTCAAACCAGTTCCTAGAGATGGATCAAACACACAGAAGTTAATCTCAGGTCTGCGTGTACTACCATGAAAATATTTGCATTAGGTGTTCAGCAAATATTGCATATCTTTGCAGCGTTACACACCACCTCTCTGAAACATGTTGATTATATCTCAGAACAGCTGTGCRTATGTTACTACAGATCTCTTTTTTCTGGCTCCACAGGGATCCACTTTCGACATCCCCAAAAAGGAGAAAAGGCCAAGGAGATGGAGATCCAAACACAGTGGCAAAGAGTCCAAAACTACAACACTTCAAGTAAACATCCAGTTATTTTTTTTTTGTTGTTGTTTTCTAACAAGTAAAATATACATATATTAAAAAAACATTAATGAAGAAAGTAAATAAAGCCTTATTTTTTGATCACCAGGTTCCAAGCTGTATCTCTATTCAGTCCCCTCGTCTTCATGCATCCAATCCCAACCTGTCCACCACAGAAGGAGGCGCTCAGGAAGCCTGTCCTCAGTCTCCAGATTCCCCAACAGAGGTGTCCACACTACAGCAGGACTTCTGCCAACTGGCCAACAAGCGTGAGTTGATTCTTTTATGTTTGCTACACTTGTTAAATGTGTACATTTAGAGAGGAAAGAAAAAAAGACACTTTTTTCTGTTTTCTTCTACATAGGAGCGTAGTTTCCATGACAACTCTGTATCTCCCATGCTCTGTTTCTTATTCATGACTGGTTTTGCTTCTCTGCAGTCCATGTTTCTCTGAAGTCAGCTTATAGTTCTCTGACAGCAGAGAAAGACAGACTGAAGCTCGCCATCGACCTGCAGGGTCCCCAGCCACCTCAGGTCGTGGGCTTGAAGACGAGCTTTGCCTCAGTGAGTGAACATCTTCTGCACCATTCCGTCCAGCTTCACGTGTCATTTCACTCATGTCTCTAAACTGAAATCTTTTAATCAGGAATGCTCAGCTCCCCCGCAGTCCCTGGTCCACCAGGCCTCCAGTGAGAGCAGAGCCTCTATTCCAGACTCGATATCAGAGTTTTTTGATGCCCAGGAGTACCTTCTCTCCTCGTCTTCATCTGAGAACGAGGTCAGACCTTTGTCACTACGTTTTTCTCATGTTCAGAACAGAATGAAAGAACTCACGGTTAATCAAACGAATGACCCCCAAACACAGAATTCTTTATCCTTCTGTCTATAGCCTGGTTTATAGTTGACGCGTCGCACCCGGCGCGAGGGGTCGCATGCCAAAAGTGACGCAATCGCGCCATCCCCTATGGCGTTACACTTGTGCCATCGGATTGAGCGCACAGTAACTCTGATTTGAGGGTAGATATCAATATGAACAAACACTAATTTGAACCGTGTGCGTTCAAATAACACACACGCTCAYGCAGCTCCCTCCCTGCTTGTTCAACTCTCTTCCTGACTGTGCTCAACTCCCTCCTCTCAGCTTCCCCTCTGCTCGCTCGCAGCTGTCTCTGCGCTCACAACCCAAAAGTTATATGTATATGTAAATGAACCACATCACCGGCCAATCACAGACAGGCTTTTTCATCCAATCAAGGCACTCAATGCAAATCTACTAAACGAAGATGCTGAAGTGACAAAATCTTAGATGCAAGGCCCATTAAATCAGCAAAAGATAATAATAAGATATATTTTATATATTTTGTAGCCGAGAATATTTAGTTAAGCATACAAATATGCTTACTGTCATTGCATATTTTAGGCAATGCATCTCTGTAATCCAGGTAGAAAAAAATTACAAGTTTAATTTAACTTTTTAAATTATTATTATTATTATTAGGCTCTTATAGGCAATATTTTTTAATTACATTAAGATAAATTACTGTTGGTTTGGATATTATTTGTTGATATTCAAATGAATTTATTAATCTCTCTTCATTGCTGATATTCTGTTGTATCAAGATTGCTTAGCAGAATTTGAATGTCTACAAACAATATCAAAACCAAGAAGTAATGAATCCTAATGTATTTTAAAAAATATTTTCTAAAATACACAATGAAAATGTCCACATTTTTAAGCTTAGCTAAATATTGTTGGGCTACAAAATTTAAACATATTTTGGCAAAAGATATAGTTTAAATTTAAATACAGCGGGTAAAATAAGTATTGAACACGTCACCATTTTTCTCAGTAAATATATTACTAGAGGTGCTAATGACATGAAATTTTCACCAGATGTTGGTAACAACCCAAGTGATCCATACATACAAAGAAATCAAACCATAAATGTCCAAAAATGAAGTTATTTGTAATAATGTGGAATGGCACAGGGAAAAAGTATTAAACACATGAAGAAAGGGAGGTGTAAAAAGGCATGGAAAGCAAAGACACCAGCTGAACTCTCTCAGTAATTAGAAAGCAAGCCTGCCCCTTGTCAGTGCAARTTAATATCAGCTGGTTCAGTCCCAAATGATGGCCAGGTATCACACAAGAACCATCTGATGATGGGTAAAAGTAAAGAGCTCTCTCAAGACCTTCACAACCTTATTGTTGCAAAGCATAATGATGGCATCGTTTACAGAAGAATGTCTAAACTTCTGAAGGTTCCAGTGAGCACTGTTGGGGCCATAATTCAGAAGTGGAAAGAACATCATTTCACCATAAACCAACCACGACCAGGTGCTCCTCACAAGATTTCTGACAGAGGAGTGAAAAGAATTATCAGAAGAGTTGTCCAAGAGCCAAGGACCACTTGTGGAGAGCTTCAGAAAGACCTGGAATTAGCAGGTACGWTTGTTTCAAAGAAAACAATAAGTAATGCGCTGAACCACCATGGCCTGTATGCACGCTCACCACGCAAGACTCCACTGCTGAAGAAACARCATGTTGAAGCTCCTTTAAAGTTTGCTGCACAACATTTAAACAAGCCTGTGAAATACTGGGAGAATATAGTCTGGTCAGATGAGACCAACATTGAACTGTTTGGATGCCAGAATACACATCATGTTTGGAGGTCAAATGGCACTGCACATCAGCCCAAAAACACCATACCAACAGTGAAGTTTGGAGGTGGGAACATCATGGTGTGGGGCTGTTTTTCAGCATATGGTACTGGCAAACTTCAAATAATTGAAGAAAGGATGAGTGGAAAAATGTACAGAGACATTCTTGATAAAAATCTGCTTCCATCTACCAGGATGATGAAGATGAAACGTGGCTGGACATTTCAGCAAGACAATGAGCCCAAACACAAAGYCAAGGAAACTCTCAGTTGGTTTCAGAGAAAGAAACTAAAGCTGCTGGAATGGCCCAGCCAATCACCTGACCTGAATCCAACAGAAAATCTATGGAAAGAACTAAAGATCAGAGTTCATAGAAGAGGTCCATGAAAGACTGTTTGTGTGGAAGAATGGGCCAAAATCACACCTGAGCAATGCATGCAACTAGTTTCTCCATACAGGAGGCGTCTTTAAGCTGTCGTTGCCAACAAAGGCTTTTGTACAAAGTATTAGATAAATTTCAGTAAGTGCGTTCAATACTTTTTCCCTGTGCCATTCCACATTATTATAAATAACTTYATTTCTGGACTTTTATGGTTTGATTTCTTTGTATGTATGGATCACTTGGGTTGTTACCGACATCTGGTGAAAATTTCCTGTCTTTAGCACCTCTAGTAATATATTTACTGAGAAAAATGTTGACGTGTCCAATACTTATTTTACCCGCTGTATATTATCTTTTGCCAAAAGATAATATAGTTAAACTTGTGTATTTTTTTCTACCTGGAATACAGAGATGCATTGCCTAAAAATACGCAATGACAGTAAGCATATTTGTATGCTTAACTAAATATTTTGGGCTACAAAATATAGAAAATATATCTTATTATTATCTTTTGCTAATTTAATGGGCCTGCATCTAAGATTTTGTCATTTCCGTCACTTGGTTTGGTAGATTTGCAATAAGTGCCTTGATTGGATGAAAAAACCCTGTCTGTGATTGGCTGGTGATGTGGTTCATTTACATTTAACTTTTGGGTTGCAAGCGCAGAGACAGCTGCGAATGAGCAGAGGGGAAGCTGAGAGGAGGGGGAGGGAGTCGAGCACAGTCAGGAAGAGAGTTGAGCAAGCAGGGAGGGAGCTGCGTGAGCGTGTGTGTTATTTGTTCAGATTGATATCTGCTCTCAAATCAGTGTTACTGCGCACCCAAGTCGATGGCACAAGTGCAACGCCATAGTCCCCCGCCCCTGCGCGTTGGCCCCGCACGGTGTCCCGGCGCATGGTTGTGCACCTCCGAAATTTAGAAACTCCGCAAAGGCTGCGAGCGCTGCGCACCATTCAAAGAGCTTGTCCTGATGCATCTCAGTAATCCAGGTAGAAAAAAATCAAAAAGAAGTACGTCCTCTGGATGGGTTCTTCTTTAGTGAAACGTTTTGTCTCTCCTCCAAGAGACTTCTTCAGTCCGAGGAGTTTCAGGAGAACTCAGCCTTATAAGCACTGCCTCCACATGGTAGACAAAAAGGTTAGTCACATGGAAAATAGGGTCATCGCCTAACAATAGGGTTACTTAGTGGCTCTAACACCAGTAGAGAAGAGAGAGATGCTCTCACCACCCTCAGCAAGGACAAGAACATCATCATCATATTGTTGCAAACCTGTACATGGAGGAGGTGGAAAAGAGAGCTCTGATGTCCTTTACAGGGACACCACCTAGCCATTGGTTCAGGTATGTTGATGACACCTGGGTTAAAATATCCCAGGAAGTCCAACATTTCACTGATCACATCAACTCTGTGGATAAATATATAAAGTTYACACGAGAGGATGTAAAAATGGCAGGTTGACGTTCCTAGACTGTGATGTCTCAGGCTCATAAGGCTGAGTTCACCTGAATTCATCAGACTAGAGATGGGACAAATGGCTCTTTGAAGGAATCCAGATCTTGGGGAGCAGTTCAAAAGAGCCGTTCCATTTTGAACATATTACATCATCATGTAGGGAAATACGTAATCACTTAGCCATACGTAATGACGTAATCCCATCACATGGTTGGAACCATTTGTTTGACAAACGGAACCCCACCTCCCCCTTTCACCGTGAGCTTCTGTACTCATCAACTCCGACTCTTTTCCGCAAAAGGCAAAGTGGGAGTAATTTAAATATGAAAAAATAAAGATTATATGAGGAATTAACGAAATAAAACTACAAATGGCTCGTTACTGCCTGCGATTCAGCTCCTATTGTTCGTTGTAAAGAGCCGTTCAGAAGATTCGGATCGTTMGCGAACGTCACAGCTCTACCTCAGACTGAAGAAGTCTCTTGGAGGAGAGACGAAACGTTTCGATAAAGAAGAACCCATCCTGAGGACCTACTTATTTTTTTCTTTTTGATTCAAAGAGCTTGTTTGTTCGTCACGCTTTTGCTCTCCTATTTACAACATTTCACAAGTTATGAAGTGTACATCCACATGTCCTTTTGGAGAAACCTACAACAACATAAGCGTCAAGTATAAACACCTTCACCGCTGGCGAGGGTGCGCGCGCGCCCTCTACGACTACCCAAAGTCAGACTATATATATATATATATATATATATACCAAGCCAAATGGTCTGATATGTTGAATACAGTAGTAGCACTCAGTTAAAAATGGGAAAAATATTCTTGTATATGAAAGCCATGGTTATAGTGGAGCCATGGCTACACTTTCACTGCAAGCAGGACATCAGTTTTTATATAGGGCTGTAAAGAAGAGTGTTGTATAAAGTACCTGAAAGTGATACTTGAGTAAAAGTACAAGTATCTTATCATAAAATTACTTTGGTAAAAGTTCAAGTATCCTCTAAGAATATTACTTAAGTAAAAGTTTTAAAGTATCTGATTTATTTTGTACTTAAGTATCAAAAGTAAATTTCTGACATAAAATGTACTTAAGGTATTAAAAGTAAAAGTATTGAGTAAAAATGATTGTTTAGAGTTTCCAAAATACATTTTTTGGAAGGTGACCTCTTCAAAAATATTTTTTTCTTAAAGGCGTGCAGCTTTGATTAATTGTATACAAACTAAATACAGTATCAGGATGGTATATGTTTATACTTCTCATCCAACCACAGGAGGCACCGTTTATCAGGATAGTATTTTTTTAACAACAGCAAGCCAAAATGAAATAGGAGTAACGACTTTCTACTTCTTACCGTTTTAAAAAATTTTAGGAGTAGAAGTAAAAAGTAGGCTGAAAAATAATTACTCAAGTAAAGTACAGATAACCAAAATGTCTACTTAAGTACAGTAACAAAGTATTTGTACTTAGTTACATTACAACCATGCATATATCATATATCAGGATTAGATATATTGCTATTTTTTTCTTCAAAAGATTTGAATTTTTAAAAAGCTTATCATGCACTATATGCATAACATGTGATTACATTCAGTTTATATTTATGCATTTATAACAYTGAACAGTAAAAACTACATTTGTATTTCATATTTTCTCTTACATCATCCATCCATTTGACACCCAGCGGTCGGAGACTAAAATACAACACAAAGATGAACCGCTGCCATGAAAGTTTACATTTTAAGCCTTATTTTTTTTTTGAGAATTTGGAGAATCTAGTATCAGGAAATGGAATATTGCAATATATTTTTTTACACCCTTATTATTATAACAGATGAGCTCACATGAGATGGCCAATCCTTCCTCAAAAAAACACTTTCTCTAATGATTCGGTGTTGTCCCCGATGTGTTGTGGTCCTCTAACTCTGTATCCCAGAACCTCACTTATATTTCCTCATTGATTTTTGGACTGCAGGTGTCTGAYGATGACTCGTATATCAGTGATGTCAGCGACACCGTCTCCATGGATACCTTCGATGGAGGCAGCGTTAGACACAACTCTGGTACAAGCCACAGTTACAAGATGTGCATCTGTTTGTGTCTGTTGCATCATAATTAAAACCCTTTAACAGATGGAAGGAAAAAAAWCTGTGAAGAAATCGTTTGTATTCAGTATTTGATCTGTGATCTTTGTGTGACTGTGAATCATCCTCTGTGTTGTGTTTTGAAGAAAGTGTCATTATCAAATAAATTCTGAATGTTTGGACTCGGAGAATATGTTAAACCCAAGCATCAGACATGTTTACAAACTCAGTGTGATGTCTCATCATTCAGTCTGTGAGCAGACATTATTCAGTCACCGCTGCAGATGATGTTCGTTTCAGATTTTCGCCGCCTCGATGTGGCGCTGAGCAGAACAGATGGAAGTCCGAGACGTAATCCCCAATCCGTCTCTGCTCTCGCACATCCTCCATCTCTGTTTACAAAAGCGCCTTTTTCTCCTCCTGCAGTCGGCAGCGTGGTGACCCTCGCGCGTCGGCGCGCCGCGCTGCCGTGCCCCTGTCCCCCCAGCAGCGTGAGCCTGTGGAACATCCTCAGGAACAACATCGGCAAAGACCTGTCCAAGGTGGCCATGCCCGTGCAGCTCAACGAGCCGCTCAACACCCTGCAGAGGCTGTGCGAGGAGCTGGAGTACAGYGACCTCCTGGACACCGCCAACCAGACGCAGGACCCGTACCAGCGCATGGTGAGCTGAAATATGACCGCGGCATCAAAAACGTGCATTGCTAAAATCTATATTAATTCTATCCTCTTGACTTCCACAGGTGTACGTTGCAGTGTTTGCAATATCCGCCTATGCATCTACCTATTATCGGGCGGGGAGCAAACCCTTTAACCCCGTCCTGGGAGAGACATACGAGTGTGACAGGCCTGATAAGGGCTTCAGATTTATAGCTGAACAGGTAGATGTTACACTAATCACACAACCGACTGAGTAGAGTGCATTCTCTTGTTACATTGTTCAGTTAAATGTGCACATTTTTATTCCRAATCTCTCCTGAGTCAATATTTTTGCTGTTCCAACTCAAGTAGGGGTCTCTAAAGTACATAGGGGGAGTTTCTTGATGTGGGGGCGGAGTTTGGAATATAGGCGGAGGTTCTTGGATGTGGGCGGAGTTTGACAAAACCGCAATTGGTCGGCTGACGACTTGTGGGGCTAGTTAAAAGATGAAGTAATGCAGTAGTAAAATTATTGTGAGCATGGAAATTAGAGAAAATTTCAGCCGATATCGATATCTGATATAATGATTGCTATTATGGCCGATAACTGATCTAAGATAAGATAAGATAAGATAAGATAAGATAAGATAAGATAAGATAAGATAAGATAAGATAAGATAAGATAAGATAAGATAAGATAAGATAAGATAAGATAATTTATTGGTCTCCCGTAGGAGAAATTTATCCTGAAAGCAGGGGCAAACACTACAACATAACAATAATTGCAATAAAAACAACTCATCCAAAAGGACAGTAACAATGAATAATACATAAAAAACAAAATACATAAAACCACAAATGTCAGATCAGCTCAGAAGTACATCCCCGATACATTCTCTACCTGCTACTCTTGGTCATCGTCTGGACCTCCTATCACTCTGTCTAGTCCCTGCTCGTCTGCCATTTATCAGATTAATAGAGAGAGGTACAAATTAATGTTTCAGACGGTTGTATTTGCGAAAGGCGACCCTGAACCTTATATTACCTTATATTTACCGATATTACACAAATGCACAAATTGTGTTTATACATATACACACAAATACACTTGGGTATTTATTTGGATATCGTAAATAATTGACCAGGCCTCTGACATGGCTCCCTACTTCAGTTATTCCTGGCTACACAGCATCACTATCATGATCAAAGAGATGCCGCTCAACCAACCATCTCCCCTCCCAAAACAGAAACACAAAGATAAAGTGGGAAATYAATATCGGACATTAATATCAGCCCAGTTTTAAATATCGGACCGATACCGATATTCTAAAAAATGACCAATATCGGCCGATACTGATATTACTGCCGATATATCATGCATCCCTAATGTAAATATAATTTTTTGATTTCAAATTTTTGTGCTGCTAACACCTTCCTGTCTCGAGTTAGGGCTGAAATTAATATTGATATTTAAAGTTATAGGTGCTGGATGACCTTTTCGAGCGAGCAAATTTAGCTTGTTTACAGTAATTAGACCCTTGAATATAATCCTAACGTCACTACAGTTTCAAACCAGATTAAYCACTTTCCACGAAGGTACTTGTGTCAACAGATTATTGCCTAAACAGACTTGATCATTTCTTCTCTTCCATTCCCAGGTGAGTCATCACCCACCTGTGTCAGCATGTCACTCGGATTCAAAGAACTTTAGCTTCAGCCAAGGTGAGAACATGTTTGGGTTAAACATCTCCTGTCCTCTGCTTTTGATTGCATCAGTGCTGCCACGCCTCTTTTTCCTGGGTTCCTCCTGCATGTTGTGGGTTACAGTTGAGGTGAAAACTGGTACTGAGTCCTGTGATCGCAGTGTGATTGGATTAATTAGCAGAATGTCAATTATAAGTGATTGTTTAATCATCGGCACGAACARCTGTTCATTAAAGTGTGTTTAAATTGGGATAATTTTCTGGCTATTGTCACAACACTTAACTCTTCTTTTGTGATTTATTTATTTATTTATTGTCTTTCAGATGTGCGATGGAAAAATAAATTCTGGGGAAAATCCATGGAAATCGTTCCCATGGGAACCACACATGTCACACTACCTGCGTAGGTCCTTTACTTATTGTGTGTGGGTGTGGGAGTCTGCTGAGTGTCTATGTCTCTGTGGAGTTTTGACCAAGTAAGAGCAGCGTGTGTGTGGTGTTCCCCTCCAGTTTCGGGGACCACTACGAATGGAACAAGGTCACGTCCTGCATCCATAACATCCTCAGCGGCCAACGCTGGATCGAACACTACGGGGAGATGGCCATCAAAAACAAGAACAGCGATGTGTGCCAGTGTAAAGTCACCTTTGTCAAGGTGGGGGAACAGGTTCTGGGTTTTGTWCCACTGAAAATGATATCTGGAGGAATCCGTCTCTAACGCTGCAGAGGGGTTCTGTTCTGTACCGACGAGATGTCCTGAATGTTACCTTTGTAAGAACCTCATTAGGGTTTTTAATTGGTGTGATCAGGTGGAATGCAGCATGTAATTTTARCTTCAGTCATCTCTCAACATTTTTTTATCTTGCACATTTATAAAACACATTTTTGCCATCTAGAATAAATGTAAATGTAAGGTAAATTGTGCCATCTAGTGGAAATATGAATAATCTAAAAATGACATTTTACTACAGGGGTCCCCAAACTTTTTCCTGTAAGGGCCACATAACTTTTCCCTTCTCTGGTGGGGGGCCGGAGTCAGTTTGTAACAGAAAAAGTGTGACTATTGCAGGAGTGCCTAAATGTAAAAATTTATTGTTTTCCAGAAAGCACAATCAAATAACCCTCTCTGGGTTCTTCACAGTATGTATTCTGCTGAGCTAACAGTCCACTTTTAGCTTTGAGAGTTTGTTTGCTCACATTTGGCCTTGCAAGCTACTTGTCTTTGTGACGGGA